CCTATCATGTGACTACGGGCTGCATATGTGTAAATTCATGCTTCCTTATGTTGTTCATTCTTCTATTAGAGTGAATACGGTAGTGGTCAGACTGCGCTGTCATCGGAGTATACGGCCCTGTAGTCAGAATAGGAGGGATGGGATAGCCGTCTCGTGCCGCTGCACAGGGAGTAATTGATCAATTAGCGCTGCTCATTAAGAACAATTTACATTAACCAGATTTGAAAAGACACTCAGACAAAGGATTACATCGTTTATCTAGAGCTTTAATTTACTTATCATATTCATTGGGGGATACTGACTGGGGATACTGACGGTAGAATATTAGTACTTTGCATGTCATTAACAATTTCATAAATGGGATCTGGCAGCTCCCCCATTGGGACCCTAAATGTACTGACTACCCTCGAAAATATAGGAATAACTAGACAATCCTTCCTATTGATGCCCAGGACAGCAATCTAAAAATACCGGATCATCCCCTGGCAATAAGGAACAATCAGTGGAACTTCCATTTTTGTTTAACTTCTCTTTGCACCACCTTTTAAATAATCATAGTGCAAAAACTGATTAAGTGGTCCTAATTATACTACAGTGTTATTTATCACATATTAAATTCTGTCATGCGAGCATATACAGGGTGACTATACACTGGCACTAACTGATTGTTGTCAAATTTGACACACAGAACAATAAGCATAATAAAATAAATGCTATAACACTTTAGATGATCAGGTGGGCTACGAAATTGATTTTATCTTATAACAGTAGCTACTATCATATATTATTTTAAATAATATAATGTGACTTTAGAACCCGTATGAAAACAATTCTACATTTAGAGTTGTATATTAAAAATCTGTTTGGTTGTAATGGACAACATTTTAGACACATTAATGGAACGTGATATATTCGCCCCTTTTGGGTGCTAAGAACAAACAAAATTGGCACCAAGATTCCGTGCCCCCACCCAACCACCTATCACCAGTACTTTTGGTTATGGACACCCTAACACTTTTTGTGTCCCACCCCAACCACCCTGAAACTTGCCCCCTAGCCAAAAGCTTAACCCTCAACACCTAAGACTTGACCCCATAATTAAGTCTCTAACCTAGCATTTCCAAGTAGCCACGACATATATATATATATATACATATACACACACACACTTTTTATCAAGTGGTATAATATAATCACGTTGATAGATTTTACTCCAGCCTGATAACTTCATTGGTTAGCTGCGGCTCTTTTGAGTGAGTTGTCACTTCAACAGACATAGAGGAGACATTATGATGATACCAAGTCTATCTGCCTTAAATAAAATCATAGACATATCAGATTTTCTCGAGTCGGACGCTGCTTTAATCCCCTTATCAATGTGAAGCCGAGAGGCAGTCCCCAGTCAGGATTGAGATCAAATCGAATTCCATGGAGATGTCTGGCTAATAATCTACTTCTCCTTCACTGATGGACTAGATATTGTAACCTCTGATGCCTGCCTCAAACCATGCATCTACTACAAGGTATCCATGTGCATGCACAGCTTGATGGTCATGTCATCATTATGTTGTGTTTATTATTATCAGACTTTGATGATGTCAAATTGCATTCAGTTTTTTTTTTACATTCTTCTGACCAGAGTATTAATAAAGCCATGTTAATAGGAGGCCACAGTGGAAATGTTCGCTAATAATGATGATTACTAGCCCCAGAATTATGATAGCAATGTTTGGACTTGTAGTTCCAGTAGAAGCAATGGCATTTACTACCCCACTTTTTGTGGTGCATATAATATATATATTTTGATCAGTGTATATTGTTATTTAAAAAATGCCTTAAACATATTACTGTTCACGATCATTTCATGTAGCTGTACTATTTAATGTTATTCTATATAGCAATCACTATAAAGAAAGGGAGGGAGAGAAAGAAAAAATAGGGAAGGAGAGAAAGGAAAGAAGGGAAAGAAGGGGGGGGGGGGTAGTAAAAGAGGGAAGTAACAGGGAAGGAGATGAGAAAGAGAAGGAAGAGGAAGATGGAAGGAATGACTGATAGGAAAGAAAGAAAGAAAGAAAGAAAGAAAGAAAGAAAGAAAGAAAGAAAGAAAGAAAGAAAGAAAGAAAGATGAGTAGGGGAAAGAGATTAGATAGATAGATAGATAGATAGATAGATAGATAGATAGATAGATAGATAGATAGATAGATAGATAGATCAATCTAGGATACAGATGTATTACTGCAAACAGCAGAAACACTGACCATTGTAGGGGAGCAGCATGAACTGTGTACATATTAATAGGTAATATAATTAAAGGACATAGACCAAGCATTTCGAATCCAGCGACTAAATCCCAGAAACTAGGGTTTAGATGGGCAGACTAGGGTACCAGGCATTGTAGAAGTCGGTTTACATTACACTAAGATAAAAGCACAGCATTGACTATGCAGTGATCAAAGTGATGTGTATCTAATATTAATGTCATGGTCCAGTCATGGGAATAAAAGGATGTGTACATCAATTTCTATGGGAGGGTGTTTCCCCCTGTTTCCAGTGAGTGTCCATATGAGGATTCAGCAGCTACAAGTCTGCCCTCTGCAAATCACCGGGCAGTTTCGGTTGACACTTGGCTTTTTCAGTCGCTCCATTTCTTTGTGGATTGCAGGCCGGCTCACTCCCATTCTCTGCTAGGGTATGAGTCGGAGCTGTCACTGTTTGGCATAATAATAGGCATTTAAGTGACTTGAGAGTGTTTACATTGAATGGAGTTCTTAATAATTATGCTAATAAAGGTGCAAGGCCAGAAACACCCTTCTTTTCATACTTGACCCATTTCACACTTCCTGGTTGTGGCAGAAGTCTAGTCCTGGGCTGAGGAAGTGTCAAGCTCTCATAGACCTCCATACACACAAGATGGCTGGTTTCAGGGTAGTCGGGAGCAGACAGGGCCAAGTTTCGGTAGTCTGGACATCAGTGTAATATGAAATGTATATGGACTGGAGCTCATGTCTGCTCTAATGAAATCTCTGTCTGCACAAACAGTGCACTGCCAGCAGACACAATCAGCAAAGCCTGCCCTGCTCTGAGGGGTGTACTGATAAGAACCATTCATGTAGACCTCATATATCTGCTGCACATTGTATTATAATATCACCTGAGCAAATATTGATTATCTCCATCCACTTTCACCTCTGCTTTGATGATGCACTGACTTTGTTCATGTAAGAAGTAGAAATATATCAATAAAATCCACAGTAGCAGAGGGAACATGACGTCATCATCCTTACTATCATCACCACCATTGCTTTTACTCTGCTGATGCAGTCATCTCTGCTAGGAGTAGTACGGACAGTTACTATCACCATTATTACCAACCATACCATTGCCTCCTCCACTACTACACCACCCGTATACTGGTGTTATTACTTTACAAATGAACTGTACTATGAAGTAATAATATACGACTAATAAAAAATATTACTAATAGTAGTGTGTTTCTTATAATAACCTGATGTATCAGCAATACTATTTTATAATTACTTCTACTACGTTAACCAGTTAATATTACTACGATAGGGTATGCTACTATTATAAGTAGTATTGTTTTAGTAGTAGTATTGTATTTCTAATCATTATATTCTCTTTGTATTACACTTTGTTTATATATGTTTACTTCTACTTGTCTTACCGTTATACAGTTACCGTCGTAACTATTATAAATGTTATTATCACACTTATAATTCATGTTAATATTAGTAAATAAAGTAATAAAGTAATATAGTAGGAATTGTAATAGTATCACATATATTCTGATTCAATTATACTATAGACTTATTCTGCTCTTACTATTACTAGAACTACTACGACTATTAATTAAAATGAAATGTTTAATATTAATAGTAGAGCTAATAATACTTGTTGTAATAGTAGTGTGTATTTAGTTCAATAAGTGTTTATTGGAGGTTTTTACAAACATACAAAAATACATAAACAAAGCACATCCGCCCAAAAGGGCAACTATCATCGAACAGCATGAACATACATATACGTATTGTGTATTTAATAATGATTGTCTGCTTCTATTATACTTGATCCTTCTCTATATCTATCTATCTATCTATCTATCTATCTATCTATCTATCTATCTATCTATCTTAATAATAATAATATACTTAATTACATTTTGCTGCTTTTACTTTTGGTATACAACAAAGGCTTGCTATTATTTCTAATAACTTATTATTCACTCATGGAAACTTGTGGGGGGACATACGGAAAACCATATTCACATATGTCCTATATGAAGAGAAATAAAGATGGATACGAATTGTTAGCAAAACTGTTATCGTCGTTTTTAGCAGAACTATTCCAACAAATAAGGGTAAGATTAGAAGACTGTCTCAGTTTATGGGCATTATATCTAACTGAATGGCATTAAGGTGAACAGGAAAGGAGAAATGACAGCTATAGCAATATACATAATTACAGTATAATTTGGAATGAAACATACATTTGTACCTGTTAGTAGTATTTGTAAGTTTTTTTTAGAATCTTTGCAGTTTGTGAGGCTAAACGAATGAAAATAACACTGTAACTAAATACATTTGTTTCGAAACAAAAAATAGGGAAGAATTTAGAAAGGAACTAAGAAACAAATAAAGCAAACATGACCTAGTGACATGAGAAGGGGGCTGCCTGTGTAATCTGCATTTGAACAATGATTAATATTTTTTTTATTAGTTTAGTGGTCATAAAACGAAATTAAGGAAGGGGTGCTCAGTGCAGCTTTTGACCTCTTGTGTTATTTACATTATGATACCAATAAAACTAATTCTAGAGGTGGTCTACCTGGCCAAGTGTCACCTGACCACGCCCTTCACACCTTTCCAGGGCAGCTCCGCCCCCCACGCCCTGATTGGCCGGCGGTGTGGTTATAGAAGGCAGAGGGTGACCTCAGGGCAGACACAAGTCCCAGCAGAGTGAGCACAGTGTACTGTGCACAGTGAGCCTCCTCTCCAGACATGAGCAGCCCTGACGGAGGATACGCCAGTGACGACCAGATCCAGGGAAAGTGCTCAGTGCCAATGATGATGCCCGGGCTGGGTCAGTGCCAGTGGACGGACACCATGAGCGCCATGGGGGAAGCCAAAATCAAATGCGAACCGGGATCTGCCAGCAGGGGCAAAGCCGAGGCTCGGATCCGCCGTCCTATGAACGCCTTTATGGTGTGGGCTAAAGATGAGCGCAAGAGACTGGCCCAACAGAACCCGGACCTGCACAATGCAGAACTCAGCAAATTGCTAGGTAAGAGCTGGGTGAGGGGGTGGTAACTGATGTCTTGTGATCTGCGATGTGATTGCCTTTCGATATAATGATTCATTCAAGAAAGATTTTAGTACTATTGTATATTATATATGATATGGTAGATGCCATAGATATAGTATCAATGTTAATCTAATATTCTATATTTGTCTATTTGATATGTCTATATATCTATGTGATAGATATAGCATCACATTTAATATTATAGTCCACAACTGTCTATTATGAATCACACATTTCCAGTACTGTTGTATTGTTGTATTTGATATGGTAGATGTTATAGATATAGCATGAACACACTTATGTATGTTAGGATTTGGAAGATGATACAGGGTATGATACAAGTCATAGATATAGCATCCCATTTAATATAATACTCTATAGGTGTCCATTATGAATCACACATTTTCAGTATTGTTGTATTGTTATATTCCATAGGATATGGTAGGTGTTATATACAGTAGATATAGCATGAAAGTTAATATGATATTCCATATGTGTCTGGATTTGGTAGACATTACAGGATATGATAGATGTCATATAGCAGCAAAGGCAATATAACATCCCAAAATGTCTACTAGGATTTGCACAAGGATGCTGATCTTTATTTATAGCCATGTGACTGTTATTTTTATGTTAAATCCTTATTGGTTTTAAGCAAAAAATAACCACCATCCTTTGAAAATAAGGAAGGACGTGTAAGGAAGGAATCTAACATGTTCTTAGAAGCTTGTATCTATATATTCTGCAATACATGGATGGTAAAATTAAGGATCCTGACACATCAGCCCTTTAAATTGAGCCTATTGTCCTGATACTCATCCTGCTGCATGGTTATGCTAACATGATTGTTGTTATCTGTTGTGCAGGGCAATCCTGGAAGTCTCTGACCCTGGCGGAGAAACGGCCATTTGTGGAAGAAGCTGAGCGACTGAGAGTGAAGCACATGCAGGACCACCCAGAGTACAAGTACAGACCCAGGAGGAAGAAGCAAGTGAAGAAGATGAAGAGGGCAGATGAGAATTTCTATCCCATTACAGAGCTTACATGCTCTCCAGGACTGAACAGTGATGGGATGATGGGGCTGGACAATTTCTCTGGAGGCTATGATGACCATCAAAACGTCCAGGCTTCTGAGAACAGCCACTATAGAGAACAACTCCCCATGGGACACTATTACAAAGGTTACAATTACCCATCATCCCAGATGCCACAAGCTGCATCTTCGCACTACTCTTCATCATCAACTCAGGTAGAAAACCATTTTCTGCCCTACTCCTACAATGCCTCATGCTCCATCTACCAGCAAAATCCCACCAGTTCCTTTTATTGCAAACAGATGCCTCATGTGGGGCAAATGCCACAAGGTGTTGCGGAGCAGACCCCCCCACACATGTATTATGGTCAGTCCTACATGTCCTCATCCAGCAGTCCTCATCAAGTGGTACCTTCTGAGCACACCTCTCCTTCACCCCAGCAGATGACCAGAGCTGATCAACTGAGTCCCAACCACATTGTGAGTGATATAGACAAGAATGAGTTTGATCAATACTTCATGCCCGATGTCAGGTATAACACAGAACTGAACTCTCACACAGATGGCTACAATGGAGTTGACAGCACTAACTTTTTTCCACCTTCAATCTCAGAATCAAATAACATGTGTTACTACAATTACTGTAGTTCATAAAGCACTTACATCTCCTGGACATTCATTTTAAATAGTGGCCAAATGGACATGAATGCAATGGAGCTTCTCCTTGGATACTCTGAACAGTAGAACATGTTTAATTATTTTAATTATAGTATTACATTTTGTACTTATTTTGTAAATCTATTTTGTACTTTTTGTAAAATGTGTGTTTTATTACTGAAATAAATGGACTATTTTCTTTTGTAGAAATGTGTGTTGGAGTATTATTTTTCTTGCACAAAGAATTTCAGCATAATTAGTATACAGTAAAGCAGATATGAGCATCATTGTTTGTGGGATTGTCTATGATTAAACTATACACATGAGCAGATAGAAAATAATTCCATTCAATGAAAAATACCTGTATTTGTAAATGGTACTTTAATCTGTTTTTGTACTAATCTCTTATAATCCCCTGTTCATCAACATATGAGAGAGAGGAAGGGACAGGATTGTAAGCCAATCAACCTTTAAAGGATTGTGCAGAGATGACTTCATCCGCAGGCTTCTGCTCCCTTATATCCAATCATAGTTCCAATCCTGAATCTGACATCTGTACTTCAAGTGTGTTACAACTGGTTGCCTACACCTACACTTTAAATTCCCAGCAATAGAGTTGGTGGTACCCAAATAACATGTAGTGCCCAGGACATGGTGTATGGCAGTTGCTTCCAGCAACAGAGCGTCTCAATACCATGAAAAAATAAGTTTGAAATAATAATTTCACAGCAAATATGACTGTCATCTGCTATCCAATAACATTTCTCATGAAGCTGTATTGTTTTGACTGTAGTATAGAAAAGTAAATGGTCACGACCTAGCTATGCTGTCTTGTAGTAGTGTCTGCACCACATACACCACATAACTGGCTGAAAAGAATAATAAACATTTTTTGGTAGGTAAGATAGTTCACAGGTCTGAACTTTTAAGTGTTCTTACACTTACACCAGGGGTGCCCCATAGTCAGGCATCATCTCATTAGGGGGGCATCGGGTTTGGGGAAGGGGGATGCAGCTAACGGCACCCCCCAAACCTCCCATTCCGTGGTTGACAGCTGTGCCGACCGTCTCTCCCTTTATTCTCCTTGCTGCCTCAGGTGGTGGATAAGGTAGGGACGGCCCTGCCTTTCACTTTACACTTCCAGCAACAGAATTGGTGGTATCCAAATAACATGAAAAATAACCAAGTTGTGAATAATTATTTCCCTCAATAATGGTTCTCTTGTAGTGTTAGAAGGTTTTGTTTAGGGATGCCTAGCCCGATAATTGCGCTTCCAGTATCAGGAAGCTGGGCAGCGAGTCATTAAACTCGCTGCCCGACTTCCTAATTGGTCGGCCGACCCGAAGCCACACAAAGCCACTTCAGCCGTACCAGCCTGAAGTGAATAGCCGAGCAGCGTTCGGCTCACTCCGCTTCAAAAAATAGTTATGTATATAACATGTAATTATAAATGTACATGCTATACTTCCTCTATATATTCGCGACCAGTGCTTCCTTCTGTGCAGTGCTATACAGTGGTTGTGCTTTACTGCTCCTTCTCACAATAGAAGTATGTGGGGTTAATTTGCTAAATGTATAGAGAGTGTTCACCTTGCAAAGTGAATGTTCACTTAGGTTAGTGAGTGTGGTGAAGCTGTGTTTAGTTCAAACAGCCTATCATAGAATAAAATCTATTTTTCCTTTATTTTTGTTGTGCATATTTGGTTATCTAAAGTGTGTTGAAAATGGAACAGCATATACTGTAAGTATGTATTTTCAGCTGTAGGTGGTGCTGTAGTGCAATGCTAGCCTATGCTAGTTTTCTATATGCATGCTTATATCTGTGATACACAGGAAGTTCTCTCTGTATGCTGTATAATGCTGTATTCTGATGTAATGTCCTCCTAAGCAAGTAAAACTTAGTTCAGCATTCCTTAAGATCTCAGTGCATCATCTAAACACATAACTAACAAAGTGAACATAGCTTTACCTTATTTACTAAGATAAGTGAACATTTATTTTAAAAAATAAACATTTCCTGCTTCTTTCTTTAAAGAAGTCTAGGAGTCCAGGAATTATTAAAATTAACCCTTGCAGTGGGGCTACCTCCTGTTGGAAATGCAACAGCAAATATATATGTACTCTTTTGAACTGTAGATAGCGCTGTAGTGCACTGTTAGTCTCTATGTGCGTGCTTATCCTGGATACACAGGAGGTTTTCTTCACAATGCCATATTCATATATATAATGTTCTTCTAAGCAAGTAAAACTTAATTCAGCATTCCTCAAGATCTCAGTGCTTCATCTAACACATAACCAACACCCCCACACTGCAATGGTTAAGTGCTAGTTTTGGTCTAGGGACGAAAATAGCTTCTACATACAGCTTTTACTTCAGTGGACTTCACATCTTGCATTAGTAAATCAGCCCCATGTGTCTTTAATCGAAAAGGCAAACATCTATATATACATACAGACATACATAAATACATACATGTGAGTCATCTCATGCACCAACAAATGTAACTCTGCTCAGTCAACTTTCAGTCCAGACACCCCTGCTAGATGTAGACTGTCTCTCTGCTCAGTGGCGGAACTACCGCTGGGGCCTCAGCCGGGGGGGGGG